AGTTCATAAAACAATCTTACTAACTATAGATTATAATGAAAAATTTAAGTCAGGGGGTGAAATACATTTTTCTCGATTTGTTAACACAATTTTTTACTAGTTTTATGTCATTTATGTGCTAGGCAGGTGATTTTAAATAGCCAAAGTTAAGAAAAAAAATGCAAAGCAGCTCTAACTTTTTTTACACCAACAGCCGTTACAATTAAATTACAAACATAAAAAGTAAAACAATTTATTGGCAATTAATTTCTAGATTTTTAAAATATAAAAAAATCATTATTTAACTATGATTTTTCTTGCCCAAAGAAACGTGGAGTAAAAAATGTGTGATGTTCAACAATCATCGCGTCTTCTGACGCCAAAGTGCGTTTATCATTCTTTTAAAGGATTAAAACTTATTTCATTTTTCTTTAAGAAAAATGTTCAAATACACATAATACAGTACTACTCGTGATTTGAATAAGTTTATTGCATAGTTTGGTCACATACTATTGGTGCATTGGTGTACAACATACCGACGCGTCATCGGCCTGGCTAACCACTCTGAGTCATCAACCTGGCTCACATGTTCTCGGGATTTTAGAAATATGTGACCGCAAAATGGAAAAATTTTTTTGACCCACCCCTCCAAATTTTTGGGTTGACCGGTAAATGGACGATTTTACCCTTGACCGGTAAATGGACGACCGCAAAATGGACACAACCGCCTGAGCAGCTCCAAGCTCAAGCACGCACAATAGACTCAAGGGATAAGACTATTAGTGTGGTTAACTGGTTCACCCCTGGTTCTGCCTCACTCTGACTTGTAATTTAGTATAGATAGTTGTATTTGTTATTGACTATTAGTATTGACTATTGAATAGTCAAAGCTATTAGCCAATAGTCAATGCTATTATCACCGTAGTAGATATCATTACATTCTGAATTCATTAATTAAAAATTAAAATTTTGCCCCACCCCCAAGAAAAAGTATACTAGTTAGACACATGTATACTCTATAAACAAATAACTTTATTTTAGGTTCATGTCATAGTTTGGACTGCCTTCAAACCAAATCAAATGTGCTTTATTAATTAAGTACAAGTACCTGGGGACCAAGCTTTGCTCGGGAGAAATCATTAGTTTACTCTGAAAGCAGTCTTAGTATTGCAGATACATTATTCCATTCCCAAACTCCACACTGCTCGCCTTTACTACTTCCTTCACCACTCCCTACGTGTGGACCAGTATCCCTCCCTTCCCATTGCATTTTAGGATTGTAGATTCATTAATGTAATTGCCACAGACAGTTCCCACACTCTGCACTGCTAGCCTTACTACTGTACTTCCTTCACCATTTCCTACTTCATGGACCTGTTTCCTTCTCTTCTCACAGCATTTAAGTATTACAGATACATTAATCTAACTTCCAGAAACGGTTCCCACTCTGCGATGCTAAACTTTACTACTTCCTACGTCGTGGACCTGTTTTCATCTCTTTCCATAGCGTTTTAGTATTTTATATACATTAATCTAATTGCCACAAACATTCCACACACTCCGCACTGCTCGTCTTTACTACTTCCTCTTTCCCTCCCTTCCCATAGCATTTTAAGATTACAGATACCTTAATCTAATCGTCATAAACAGTTCACACACTCCGGACTGCTCTCCTTTTTTATCCTTTTCTACTTCCTACACCACTTACTACGTCGCGGACCTGTTTCCTTCCCTTCCCATAGCATTTTAGGAATGTAGATACTTTAATCTGATCGTCATAAACAGTTCCCACACTTTGGATAGCTCGCCTTGACTACGGTACTTCCTTCATCACTTCCTACGTCACGGACCTGTTTCCCTCCCTTCCCATAGCATTTTATGATTGCAAATACCTTACTATAATTGTCATAAATAGATCCCACACTCGGACAGCTCGCCTTTACTACTTCCTTCACGACTTCCTACGTTGTGGATCTGTTTCCTTCCCTTCCCATAGCATTTTAGGATTGCAGATACCTTAATCTAATAGTCATAAACAAATCCCACACTCCGCACTGCTAGCCTTTACTACAAAATATCAAGTAATCTTCAGTAATCTTTGCTCAATAGTAACAAGTAATGATTTTCCTTTTGTACTGTATTTTGTAATTTGCTATTATACTGTGGGTAGATGGCTTATTACGAACACATGTTACAACTTACAAGTCTTTTGTTTACTTTTTCCTTGTTATTTAATTCAACCAACATGGCTACTTAGCAACCCATGAGACTAATGTTAAAAAAATGTGACTTTCAGTTTCATTTTTCTACGTAATTAGATTTTTGTTGGCAGTTCTAACTGCAGTAAACTCGTTTTTAGGTCAGAACTAAACTACTCACAACATTTGAAGAAAATCGTCGAAGCCGTTTCCGAAATCTTTGTGCAAACATACATACATACAAGCAAACATTGCTCATATTAGAGAATAGGATTTTGTACACTGGATGGCGTCAACTAATCTATTTTAAATTACTAATACAGAGTCAACAATAATGAAAATAATCATAACTAAATCATTGCTAAATCAAATGCTACGAGGGGAAGTGGAGAAGTACTCCTCCGAGGAATAAGGCTTTCTCCACCAAATAAAGTTTAAGCTTTCTTGTGAAATTCTTATTGCTTTGTTCATTTTTAATTTTACTAGGAAGATGCTTAAGAAATTCTTATCCAATATATAGGATGGCTTTTTGATAGAATTTTAATATATATTATGTTTATTTGAAACAAGGAATTTTTTATGGCGAGTGTGTTGTATTATTAATTTGTCTCAGAGGTGCTCAAAGTGATTTTTTGCTAGAATGATTGTTTGTTAAATATATTGGCCATAAACAGTTAAAATTTTCAGTTCTTTGAATTTGTTTTTGTCTTTTTGTTGTGTTCTAATTTCATCATTATTCTGCTTGCTATTTTTTTAAGTTTAAGTATCCTATCCTTCGCTCTACAACATTTGTCCCAGTAAGTATGGCTCATCACTTGGGCTTTTGGGGAGCGTGCTGGCATAGTGGTTAGAGCGCGGGACTTCAGTCCCTGAGGTCCCGGGTTCGATCCCCGACAAGTCACCAATGGATTTTATCTAAGTGATAATGCCGCAACCCCTAGTTCTAGCCTGAAGTAATGTGAAAAACTATCCCAGGCTCGTGCCTAGCGTCCTAGGACAAAAAAAAAAAAATCACTTGGGCTTAAAGTGTGACTCTTTTCAACCCAAGCCCAAGCTTCACTGAAAATTAGCAAGGGTTGAAAAGATAGTATTTGCCTGTGTGATGAACTACGGTATAATGCAACATATTATTTAACAAACTAAATTAGAAAGCGAAAATACTTTTCACAAAAAGTTAAACTCTCAAAACAACTTTCAATTTGTTTTTAATTTTACTAATGCAAAGAAGCTGTTTTGTAAGTGATCCAATCATTTCTGTTATGATTGAGTTAGTGTACATTATAGTATGGATATGTCGAACTATTGACAAGAACGCAACAATGAGCTACAACCAATGTAATCAATCGTTACATAATTTCGATACACAATCAAATTTTTCTTAAAATCAAAGTTTACAATAGATTTTATGACAGTGGACGTTTACTCCTTAGGGAGTAAAAGGGCTACTTTAGACCACAAAGTGTGTATCTAAAACTGCTGTTTATGCTGCAGTAGCCTATGACGAAAAACATTTTCAGTAAATAGGACAGATAGTTTTCAGTAGAGGGCTTAACAGTAATTGAGCCTGCAAGCACTTCTTATCTAACACCCCAAGCAAGTTAAACCATTGCCTAAGCTTTTTTTGTATATAAAGTATGGAACGAGGGTGTCTAGTAAAACATTTCACAGATAACGGCCGCTGAATGTTTAAACAGGCATCTTTTAATGAAATATGTAAAGTCAATCGCACCTTTAAGAGGAATACCACAAAAAAAAACTTGTTAAAAAGAGATAAAAGAGGTATGGTAAAAAGAGTAGTAGTTTCTATTTTAATATTGATCAGAATCAGAAACAAATCTAGGGTTAAGTTTTTTCAATGGGATGCCTTTACACTAATTTTGTTAAACCTTTACAAAGGGAATGTAAAATAAGGAATAATAACTGGGTCAGGGTGCTAATTTAGCAGTTTTTACGAATAACTAAGCTTATCTCAACACACAGTTTATGCCTTTTTTATATTTTACAAAGTCAATAATCAGAGAAGCCTTTTATTATCATTAACCATAAGACCAAAGCTATACCTTAGTAAACCAGAGTGTATTCACAAACAATGATATGTTTACATAGTTAAACCTCTGGAATGATTCAAATTATTTATTGAAAATAACACCAACAAAAACAAGCAAAACTACTGTTTTTTGTACACAAAAGATATGGTGTACAGGGATATCTATCCTCACATATAGATTATATATTTTATTTTGAGTTTGTTTAAATATTATAATAGTTTGTTTTACATTTGAGCTTTTTAGGGACTTATGTCGCTACAAACCACTAGTTATCTTTTAAATCAAGTATTTTGATCCGTCGGTGACTTTTTACAAAATTAAGCAGTATTGTTATTATGTAATTTTCATTTCTAAAAAAACGTTAATAAAAGTAATTGGTTTTAAATTTAGACAAAAATGTTCTGTAATTGTTATTTTTGGTTAAGATTGAATTGACAATTTCACCGGTTTAATAGGTTTGCTATGTATAAATCTTTTTATGTGACAATAAAGGAATAAAGTGAACTTGAATTTAACAGTGTTTATGAAAAAAATTTGTGTCTGAATGTTGAGTGAAACAACACTATATGCTTCAAGACATATATAAGTGTATGTGAAAATACTTTTGATTGTAACATATTCACATTATGATCGAAGCATGGCCAGAGTTGCGAGTAAATTTTCATTTTAAATAAACCACCTACTATTTTTAGTTGTAAATAAAAATATGAAACTGCTTAAAATAACAACTAAAAAAAAACCAAACAAAAAATGTATAATATTAATTTAGACTTACCAGTATATGAAAGTACATGGTTAGAAATATCAATCTAAAGTACTGAATGGTATCCACTGAATTCTGATAAAGAACTACAAGGTAATGTTACAAATCAGCAGAAAAATGAGGCCGCTACAGGTATGTGCTGAGTAGCTCTTACCTGCCGGCACAATAACTTACATCTGATTAGAGCCAAGTTAAAGTGTCTGGTACTTTTTGTATTTTTCAATCAAAATAAAGTTTTTTTAGTATCATCGATGTCAAATCAACACAAATCACAACATATATATTTTTTTGTAAAAGGTCCTTGTTGCTTGTTTATTGGATATTGGGTTTTTTGTGTTATAAAGTATTCAGTCAATCACTTTTGTGATTCGTTATCAAAATGTTTACCAAAGATTACAATAAATATTAATGACATGATCAACTATTTTAGCTAATGATGGAAAACATAATTATGTTATTGCCTTTGTGGTTCATAGCTTTAGCCTTTGACTATTGATACAACTACTAATAGTTTAACTATAGCTTATTCAATGATATCTAGCACAACAATCATATAGAATATAGAAAAGTCTAATTACAGTGTTACATCAAAACTATATAAATCAATTTGTACCCCGAATACAGAACATAGAAAAAATTACATATAATTTACTCAAGATATTGTAGCCTAGAAGATTTCCTACAAAATAATTTTAACATCATAGTAAACATTTTAGAAACAACTTGTCATGCAATTTTATTGCAATCCTTTCTTGCTTGTAAAGCACCTTTAAATATCACCAAACTGAAAATTACTCTTCACTATGAACTACAATTAAAGAAAAACCAAAATGAAAAATATGAAGGAAAAATAAAACTAACAATTAACACAAAAACAAATTTATTTCTTTAAAATAATTCTGTGGTGAATCAAAAACATAAAAATATAACTGTAGAGTAGAACCAACTCATTCATAGCATGAAACGCTACTGAGTACAAATATGATCGTCCTAAAAACCCTGAAGGTTCTACTAAAACAATGAAATCGCAACAATAAATATACACATATTAAAGTTTACATTATTATACATGTGGTACAGTACGGTATTATATAAACTAAAAATTCGGATCTTCAATGAAAAATATAGCATCTTTGATATTATATAAATTGTCTGATGTTTTATGTGCTGGTTTGGACAAGTTAAAGTACTAGTACAACAAATTGTATTCCAGCTATTATCAAGATACCTAAAACATCAGATGAGGTTATAATTTTAATAAATTATCATTTTAATTTGGTTAATGTAAAAGATACCTCTATAGTTATGAGAAAGACGTGGCTTTTATTTGTATGGTTCTTATTTGTTATTCCTCAATTTAGGAAGAAGAAACATCATGCAGCTAACTTGGCAGTCAAGCCAAAGCATGGGGTGGTTAAAGTTTAATAAATCATATAAATATGTAGAATATTTGGCAATAGACAAAATAACAGTAGGCCTATTACTACAGCAAAATAATGAAATTTCATCTTCACTAAGAACTATTTATAACACCCTTATTCATCGGAATACCGCGATGCTCTAAACCCAAAGAATTTATGAACAAAAATAATTTTAAAAACATAGCTTAGGCTTTGGTAAAAACTAAAAATGCCAGTTGGAGATTAGGATTCTCAAGCGGTTTGATGTATCTTACTATGCCTCAATCACTACTCCGTTACCTCCCCTCACCATCCTTTGTTATCGTTTTGACTCACTGTGCCACTTTATGAACAATAGTAAATAATTGGAAATTATTAGCATGGGTGATTTTTGTTATATTATTTGTAGCAGTGAACGTGTTAGAAAAGTTGAATAGTAGAGGGATTAACATGGACACAATACTCAAAATAGTGAAGCATGGTTAGTTTAAATCAAAATAAAACCTCACAAACTCATAAATTAGCAGGTAAATTGGTAGGTTTGTAAACAAATACATTGCACTATATACTGAACTTTTAAATATCTGTCAAAATGAAGTTAAATATATAGACTACACCAAACGGTGCAAATTGTACTTATACAAATACAAAATGAGTAAAAAATTACAAAAAGGTGAAAATAGTACAAGATTTACAGAAATATAAAACGCAGCACACAAAACATCAAAACAAGTTTATAGTAAATAATTTAATGACAAAAAATGCAACGATTGGCACTATTCTAATTTGTTACAAGTCCTCATATCTGTAAAATGATACCTAGCGATATTTCAGACGAACTAAAAATTAAATACAGTCCTCATAAAATAGAATAAATAATGAAAATGTCATTTGAAGATAAACTATAAAGCTCAGCTGGATGAGAATATCACACTGGTTGTTGATGAGTTATGTGGTAGCTGTAGCGGTTGTCACTGAACTAAGTCTCACACAGCAATCAGAACTCGGATTCCCCAGGTCGATCTGAAATCAGACACATACAGGATACAACATGATCAACAGGTCAAGTTATTTACATTTACTGACAATATAAGATAACATGAATATAAATTTAATTTATAATAGTATAGAGCCAGAAAAAATATGGCAACATATTTTAGAGATTAGATGATTGTTTCTAATTCTTAAATATATATAATTTTAAAAATTACTATAATTTTAGCGAATTTTTCTATTTAAGCATTAGTAGTAGTGTTTAGAATATATGTCACCAATAACAAATCACTTGAACCTTTTTGGGTAAAATAGTACAGAGGTAAGAAAAGTTATGTTCAGCGATATGAATCAGTATCTTTAAACATTCTCTGTTGAAACAACTTAACCAGCGTAATTATTGTTGTGATAACAAATGAGTCAAATTTCTGTAAATTGTAAATAAACTCTTTAGTGCCTATTACTACTAATCAAAGAACTTTTAAAAATTGGCCAAAATATATAGTTCTTGCAGAATTTACGTTCCCTCGGTTATATTTTTAAAGATATTAGTGGGAGAAAAGATTGTGCCAAAGATGGTACGTAGGTACTTGGTACTTATATCGGTGCTCAATTTGTTATGACTTATCAAATCAAACTTGCGATTTCCAGGAGGTACTGAGTAGGATTGGAGGTACTAACTATATCATATAGTTTTGATCCTCATATATTGCAGTTATTAATTACCGTACTCATCTTATTTAACACATTTTTTAATCTACGTAATCATTTTCAGAGATGGAGTCATATGGTAATACCAAAGAGTGTGTTATCTAGTATGGAAGGCTTAAGCAATTCTCGATTAAATTAAACGAGTAAAATAAAATTTAGAGAAGATATGGAACTACAGGGATAAAGGAACAAGAACTAAAGACCATGATAGTCTAAGACTTCTCTAAGAAATAAACCATCAAACCATCTTCATGCTTTATGGTATACCATAAGTATAAAATTACAAATAGGTAAATCTACTTGTTTAATACTGACTGTAATTTAAAACTCAATAATTTTTGTTGTAGCTATCTAATTACTAAAAACTTTTACTACTTAAAACGAATCCCAAACAATAATAAGATTTTAATTTCAATTTTGAGCTTAATTGTCATCTATGTAAAAATATAAAGTGTTATGAACTACCTTAGATCCTAGAAGTTGAATTTAAATGAGGGGTAACAGCCTAGTCTGGATATAGTTGAATTCCAAGTCTAGATGAGTTTCAAATTTATAAATGAAAAATAAAGTATGAGCCTAATTATTAAAATAGAAAACTTACTTTAGTCAGAAAAATATTGGGTTTAACTCAAAGATTAGGAAACCATGCAGAAGTTGATTAGTTACAATCATCTCCAAAAATAAAGTACCAGAACTCTTGATAAAAACAATAATTTAGTATGCATTTTAAACTTTTAAAAATCTAATAACAAAATCATGCAGACATTGACTTTGGAATACAAAGAATTATGATGTGAAGAAACAGTTTCATACTATTAAATAAACATAAACAAAAATGATTTGAATACTTTTCTATCTGATGCACACCTGGTCATTGATTAGATTTTCTAGATTAGAAATAAGCATAGACAAAAATAATTAAATATAGACTGTCAGCCGTGCTGCGGTTACCATGGTTGTCATAGGTTCCGGCGCACACCGCTGTAGTTTACGTAGCGTGTACGCCGTAACTACATGGCGCTCCAAGCGGTGTGCGCCAGAACCTATGGTAACCGCAGCACAGCTGACAGTCTATATAGAATTTTTTTTGTCTATGAAATAAGTATAGTTTAATCAGCTCCAATTATGAAATTACAAATTAGCAATAGTACTTTTTGATCACACCTGCAACTAAAAGTTGTGCAAACTTATAGAGTTAAAAAGTTATCTCATTATACATTCACCATTGTAAAAAATCATAATTTTGTGTGGATATTGCCCGAGTTATTAGTTTTAATAATTTGGAATGTTCTTAAAATATTTTTCTCTTAACTTCATTTTTTTCTTTTATCCAACACTTGGTTTTTGTTATTTTAGCCAATTTCCCTATAAGGAAGTAGCTATTAGGTCTCATGGTAAGACTTGAGCCCGGGACAATCCCAGAGGCCAAAAACACTATTCATAAAAATTTTTATATATGTGTCCGCGAACTTGAGTAATTTTTGTTCGATTTTGATGCATTTTGGTTTGAAGGCGTAAGGTGGGATAAACTTGAATGAGTTCGTGAACTAGCATTGGACGATGGGAACGGGGTAAAATGTTGTGGTTTGCTTGTTTATGGATATATTTTTTATAAAAAATGTCAAATTTATTTATTTTATAACCAAGCTATTATTTACTTATTATTATTTTACTAAAACACACACTTTATTAGCCTCCGTATAGCAGCAAACCTGAGGACTCGTTTAACCTAATTTTTTAAATAGGATATAATTGTATACCAATTCAGGCAAATGGAAATTTGCTAAATCTGCAGGTTTGCTGTGGCAAAAGTATTTTTTTTTATAAAGTTGCTTGGAATTTGGTTAAAGCATAATGTTTTTACAGAAAAAATATTACATTCGCCATATATAATCAAGTGCCAGGAAAAATATATTCTTCTGTTGGGTAATTAAAGTTTAAACCATAATCTTTGTTCTTTTAGCGAACTTCCCATATAAGGAATAAGATTACCGTAGTTACTCATGGTAAGACCTGGACCTGGGACCAATCTACTATTTTGTATTGAGGTCCTTAGAGCCCAAAAACATCATCTGATCGAATTCATTTATATATCTAAATACTATACAGCCGCAATTGTTACTCACTCAGGTATACAAATTCTAGACCACTTCTAGACGAGCTAGAGACTTGAAATTTTCGGTGGTTGTAGGTCTAGTGCCCAAACAACCCATAAAATTCCAAAAAGTGACATTTTCAAATTTTAACCCCCCCGTAATCTCGAATTTCCCCCCCATGTTATTCTTATGGGAAATAGCATTGAAAATTGCCGACTTTGGTAAGCTCATCTGAACAACTTAGAAACGTGCTAGAGACTTCAAATTTGCGTAGTATTGTAGTGTGAGGTCTTACAATACCGGTGGAATTTGCAAAAGTGCCATTTTCAAATTTTAACCCCCCCCCAAAATTCAAAATGGCGGACCTCTGAAAACGACAAAACACGTTTTTTTCAACCGGATTTAGCTCGAAAACGGTAAGAGCTAGAAAAGATTTGAAAGTATATACAGGAACAGGAATTAAATTTTATACAAAACCCTCTTAGGCGTTTTCCAAAAATCGCACTCCTTCAGCTTCAAAAAACGCCCTACTTTCAAAATTTGTTAAATTTTTATTCAATTTTTACCGGTTTTCGCCATGTTTTCATACTTAAATAATTTTTTTTTCAAAAATTATTATTGCTTTGTATTCTCCTTATTTTACTTTAAATTTTACTCATTACATGTTTTTTGGTAACTTTACTCCTTGACCCCCAAAACTTAATTTTAATCTCAAAATTTGAAGGTTTTTTGCCACTTTTACGAGCCCCATGTTATTCTTATGGAGAATAACATTGAAAGTGGTCGACTTTGGTGTGCTCATCTGAACCGTTTAGAAACGTGCTAGAGACTTGAATCTTGGTATTATTGTTGTAGGGGATCTTATATTAACGGTGAAATTTGCAAAAGTCCCATTTTCAAATTTTAACCCCGCCAAAAATCCAAAATGGCGGACCTCTGAAAACGATAAAACACGTTTTTTTCAAACGGATTTAGCTCGAAAACAGTAAGAGCTAGAAAAGATTTGAAAGAATATCCAGGAACAGGAATTACATTTTCTACAAAACCCTCGTCGGTGTTTTCCGAAAATCGCACTCTTTCGGGTTAAAAAAACCCCCTACTTTCAAAATTTGGTAAATTTCTTTCAACTTTTTACCGGTTTTCGCTATTTTTTCATACTTAAATCATTCCTTTTTGCAAATATTATTATTGCTTTGTATTCTCCTTACTTAAGTTTAAATTTTACACGATACATGTTTTTTCGTAACTTTACTCCTTAACCCCCAAAACTTAGGTTTAATGTCAACATTTGAAAGTTTTTACGAGCCCCATGTTATTCTTATGGAGAAAACATTTACCCCATAAAAACCACCATAAGTCCCCGTTCCCATGGTCCGTTCAAATTGATTTTTTTATGAGGTATTCCTTAAGGTTGAGCTCGAAGTTAGCTTATATAGCTTAATATTGACGGTTTCACTTTTTGCTTTGTTACAACTTAACTCTAATCTACTAATGACGACTAACAGCTAGCTGGATTAGCTGTATACTAATGACGACTAACAGCTAGGGGGCCTGGGGGCGGAGCCCCCAGCGAGCCAAAGGCGAGTTCATATATATACGTCCGTTAGCACGATAACTCGAGCAAAAATGATCCGATTTTGATGAAATTTTGTACAAACGTGTAAACCTACATTTATTCAAACGAGTTCGCGAACAGCATGATCTGACTATGGGAACGGTGGTTTATGGGGGGTTTTATAGGGTAAAAATTGGTTTTTCTTATTTTTGATCCTAAAAACATAAAATTTTGCAATTTCTTTCTAAACCATTTTGTAGAGCTCAAAAACAATCAAATTAATATATTGAAGCGTAGTTATGCGCCTAGTAGTTATGGTGAAAATTACAAAAAATTGTAAGTATAAAATTCCCATGTTATTCTTATAGAGAATAAGTAAACTGTTGTAGTTTGCTTGTTTATGAACGTATTTTGATTAAATTTGGAAGATTCGTTTATTTCATACTAAACTATTAACATAAAAAAAAAACACTTTTACCCTCCCTGTTGCAGCAAACCTAAGCACTTGATAAACTAATACAACAAAAATACTAAAACAAAATAGGGAATAAATGTGATATTTTAAAGGAGATATTCAATCAGTGTGAATCCAATCAGACAAATGGAAATTCACTTAGTCTGCAGGTTTGCTGCGGCAGGGGTATTTTCATATTTATGTGTTTGTTCTA